TTCAACCAGCCTTCTGTTGAGAGATCTTTGGGCTGTTTCCAATCTGCTAGCATTAATAGTACTGCAACAGACATCTCTGTCTGTACGTATTTGAGCCCATGTGCAAGTGTTCCTGGAGAAAATGGTCCTTAAAGTGACACTCCTGGGCCAAAAGGTACATGCATTAAAGGTGGCTATTGCTAAATACCCTCCTGAAAAGGCAGTGGGAACACCTGCAGTGTGGCTAGCAGCATCCATCTTCCCTGCAGTCACCACCAGTAGGTATTGTCAAGCTTTTTCATTTCTGCTAATCTGGGAAGTGACAGATAACTGTCCTGTAGTTATTTTAATTTGCTTTGCCCTGAACATTGAAGGAGGCTGGCCATCTTTTTGTGTGTATAATGACCAGTGTGCTTCTGCATTCTTTGCCAATGTTTGCAGGAAAGGATATACATTAAATGGGTGTTCAAATACGTGGCATGTTCGTAGAAGTAGGAAAGTGTCAGTGTCTGGAATCATTCCATCGTAGGTCATAGGGTCACTTGCTGGAGGTTGTGGATGGGTTTTCATTTAATGGGAAGTGGAACTTATAACGTTAACATTTCAGACTGTATTAAGAGTTTCCTGAATTCTCATTTTCATTTTCCTAGCAAAAAAGGTTTTTGGGGTTACTATTTTATTTTTCTTTGATTTCTGTAGCTTATGATTAAGCCTTTTAAAAATTTCCATCTTAGATGGTTTTGACTTGTTATAGTTTGATTTTCACTCATTTTTATGACCCTTACAGAATATGAGCTGTATCAGCTGGGACTCTGTGGTGCAGTTCATAGGACTTAAACGCAAATTGACTTAGGCTAAGAAGGGATATGTTGGCTCCCGTACTGAAAGATTCAGAAGGTATGCAGCTTCTGGCATGGCTGGGTCAGTTACTCAAATTAAGTCCTCAGGCATCTCTGTTTCAACTTCTGCACCCTGCTTCCCGCTGTGTTGGCCTCATTGTTGGGAGCCTGTTTCCCCGTAGTGGCAAGATGGCCCGCAGTATGGCAGGTCTACATTCTATCAGCTCAGGAACCCCGTGGGAAAGAGAGCACCCCTTCTGAGCTCACACTTTTCCAACAAAAGTAGAAAGAGTTTTCATTGGCCAGTTTTAGGTCACATGCCATCTTTTACCCAACCCTTGTGGCCATGGTGATTCAGTATTCTCATTGGCAGGCCTGAGTCACATGACCATTCTTGTACCCACTGGATTTCATCAGCTCTTCTGGAAGCCAGAAGGGTTTTCATTGGCCCAGCATAGGTCGCATAACCCAATCCCATGGCCAGGGTGATTTCAGTGTTCTGGTTGGCCAGGCTTGGGTCATGTGGCCACCCTTGGCCCTGTAGGTTTTATTAGTTGCCCAAGAAGCTCAGGACCTGAGAGTGGGATTTGAGGTGCTGGGAAGGAAGGAAGGGATGGGTGTTGAGTAGGCAAAACCAACAGCTCTGCACTAAAGAACCTTAGAACAAAAACCTTGACGTGGTTCTTAAGTTTTAAGCTCTGGCTTACAGTCTTTTGCCCTAATCTGTTACCACTTAATTCATTGTTATTTTGTTTTCTTTTCTAGCTTCCCCCCATCTGTTTAGAATCATACAAGTCATATGTGCATATTACTTTGAGTAAAAGATCTTACTAACCTATAAGTCTTCAATGAAACAAAGCCTCCCTTCAGTATACCTCCCAGTCTCACACCCCAAAGAGAACCTCAATTATTATTTGGTGTGCGCCCTTCTTGACCTCTTTCTAGCATTTACAAATTTACCTATGTGGATTTTTAATGTTTTTATTTTGTTTTTTCTTGTTTAATTTAAAAATTTAAATAAATACATTTTATGTTTCAGACATCAAAAAACTGCCTTAGCTGGTTTGGCTCAGTGCATAGAGCATCAGCCTGCAGACTGAAGGGTCCCAGGTTCGATTCCAGTCAAGGGCCCATACCTTGGTTGCAGGCTTGATCCCAGCCCTGGTCGGGGCATGTGTGGGAGGCAACAAATCCATGTGTATCTCTCACATAGAAGTTTGTCTCTCTAAAAATCAATGGAAAAAATATGCTCGGGTGAATATTAACAACAACAACAAAAACACATATAGCCCTGGTCAGGTGCTCAGTTGATTGGAGCGTTGTCCCATACACCAAAAGGTTGTGGGTTCGATTCCACTCAGGGTACATACCTAGTTTTTGGGTTCCATCCCCAGTCAAGGCACTTACAGGAGGCAACCAATCAATGTTTCTTACATCGATGTTTCTCTAAAATCTCTTCCTTCCCCCCCCTCCCTTCCTCTCTCTCTCCCTTTCTCTCTCTCTCTCTCTCTCTCTCTCTCCCTTTCTCTCTCTCTCTCTCTCTCTCTCTCTTTCTCTCTCTCTCTCTCTCTCTCTCTCTCTCTCTCTCTCCCTTTCTCTCTCTCTCTCTCTCTCTCTCTCTCTCTCTCAAATCAATAAACATATCCCTGGGTAAGAATAAGGGGGGAAAAACATATAAAAACCCTATGTGAGAAGTCTCTACTTCATCTTCATTCCCATTCACTACATTCCCATCCCCAGAATAGGTACCATCTGTTATTAATTCTTGTTTATTGCAGGGAATTTTTTTCTTTAGTATTTTTATTGATTTCAGAGAGGAAGGGAAAGGGAGAGACAGAAACATCAATGATGAGAATCATCCAAATAGAAATGTAATTGTGTAATTTAATTGTTTTAGTAGCCATAATAAAAAAAATAAAAAGAAACAGGTAGAACCAATTTCCATACCCATTATATCCAAAATGTTATCATCTCGATATGTAATCCATATAAACATTATTAATGAGATTTTTATATTCTTTTCTTTTACTTAGTCTTTGAGATCTCATGTGCATTTTACACTTTGAGATCTCATGTGCATTTTACACTAACAGCACTGACCATATTACAACTCAGACTGGCCAGTTCAGGTTCACATGAGACAGGTGGCCTCCATATTGAACAGCTCAGGCCTAACCCAAACCCCCAACTGTTAGCCATAAAAACTGCGTAAGTAACTATGAAGCAAG